ATTGAATATTTCAAAAATGCATGTACAGAAGAATATAAAGAGGATAGATCATCACCGGATGATGATTTTTTCAACTCTTGGTCTAAAAGTTCATCGGAAGATAAAAAAACTCTAAACTTAGAAATTGACCAATATTTGGGAGTATCGCCTAATAAAAATTTGGAATGTTTAAATTTAATACCAACTGTTAAGTCAGTAAGTAAAAATTCTAAACAAATTGGTTTTGCATATTGTATAGCTTGAACTTAATGCCTAGGTGTTCAGAAAGTATAATACACCCTTACCAAGCAGCGCATCTGTCGAAAGAGTTTAGCATTGATGGTGCTACCATGACAAAGCGACGAACTAATATGACTGATGATAATTTTGAAAAAATTATGATTCTTAAATGTAATAAAAATAATTTTAATTAAATGGTTTATTTAATTGTTGATTTTTGGAATTTATTTAATTATTCTAGTAATTTATACTTATAAAACCATGTTTGAACTAATATTTATTTTTTTCACTAGTTAGTCTCCAATAATTAATTTTATTTACCTCTAACAAAAAATATCGAAAATAATAAATGAGTTCTCTTAATTTAAGAGTACTCAAATTACCCTCTTGGTAATTATTTAGGTGGAATCTTTTGCTCTTAGTTAAAATAAAAACATTATTTTTATTTTTTAATTGTATTCTTAGTATTTGAAATACTTTTGTAAAGTAATTGAGTATTACTCAAATACTTTTATATGAAAAGTATTCATATATGTTTTTTAAATACATTTTTTTTTAAATATTTGAGTATTATTTAAAATACTTTTTAAAAGTATTTTTTACAACTATGGAAATAACCAATACAATGATAGTTATAAAACAGCATCAAAAGGCAATGCGATATTCGAGATAACAGAAAAAGAAAAGTTGGGGTCTATCAATTACATAAAGTCAAAAGGCTAATTATTATGATTAGTGTGTAGAGTAAAAAAAATTTAGTAGTAACTTTTTACACTTACCAATAATTTTTAAATTCATTAAATCAATCGAAATGCATGTTATGTCTTATGATAATAATTAATAAAAGATATCTATTTAAATGTAATAAATCACTGACATCCAACACCCCAAATATGTTTAGTCGTTAGGACATTTATAGACTTTTATAGATAGACATTTATTTAACAAAATCTAATCTTTTATTTATTTTTGAATTACTACACTATTATTTATCATAAAGCACATCTATGAATACTTTTATGTTGCACACCCCTCTCACCAATATATAAATATATCAATTTGAAAAGTAATATTATATAATTGGTAATTGACTAGACAAAATTTTATTCAATACATCACCTATTTAATACTAAAAAATAAAAATAGGTGTCTATTTAACTTTCGAAAGTTACCCTTAAAATCTACTGTTTGAAATGGTTTTTTTATAATAAACTCAATTTTATAAAATTATGTAAAAAAATTATTAATAAAAAATATTTACATACATGTACTAGAATTTTCAACGCTTACAATTTATGGGAAATTTTTGATAAATAGTGATAAAAAGTTTAAATTGTGTATAGATTTTCGATACTTCCTATCAAAATTACACTACTTGAACGTATAAGTAACGTGTATATATTGAAAGTATCATACTGATTTATGGGAATGTTTTAATAATTATTCACAGTGTGATATTTCCTATGGTAAATAAAAATAAATACAATTTAAATCTATATATTTTTATGAAAAAATCATTATTTAACGAAAGAATTACGAGTAGTACTCTTAATAAATCAAATATTTTTTATAAAGTGTTAACATACTTTGTCTGGACGACAAAGCTTCGGTTTCTTGTGGGACTGTAACTAGGTTTACACATGCAATTATTTATACATTTATTATACGTTTTAAAATTAATTTTAGCATTTTTTTTTTTTATAAATCTAACCATTTACCTGCCCACAAGAGGGATTCAAAATGATAACTTTTTTTTTTTTTAGTTAAAGTAAATCATTAAAATTAATTCAGTTGTGGATATTTCAATTGTAGAATCTTTAAATACCAAAAATTACTTAGAAATGATTACTATGATTTCTATTTAAGTGTTCTATTACGATAAAAATGCAAAAAAATTATGAGTTATTCTGATAAATATACTGTAAATAGTATATTTTAATTTAAAATTATAAAATTTCCTGACTGCATATTAGTCTTAAAAATAGCATAGTTTTAATTCTCATAAAATTTTCTATTTAATGATGTCAATTTCAAACTTGTAATTGAACTAAAAGTTATGGTAACATATTCAATTTTTTTTACTATAAACTTTCACAAAAATTTTTCATCAACTTCAAAGAACCAAAATAATAGGTTAAAAATGAAAATTTGGATTGATTATTTTTAACATATTAAAAATCAAATCAGTAATAATTTGAAAACAATTTTTTTTTTCTTTTAATTATTATTTTATATGTAATTAGTAATAATATAAAAAACCCAGCACAGGGGGGTCGCGGCACAGTGGTGACGTGGCATAGTTGGATAAAGTATAATGATATCTGTCAGTGATTAAAATCACTATCAAAATAAAACGCTTCGATGCAAATCTTTAGATAGTGTTTAAATTTAAAAAATTGGTGGATTATTCCAAAAGCTACATGATCTGCTAGTTCCTTATTAATATCCTGATTAAGATAAAGTATGTCGAATGAAAAAGGGATTGTTAAAAAATATTATTTCTCATAAAAAAATTGTGTTGATCCATACACTTTTCAGTAAGTTATAGCATTATAAAGTTAATTTTTTATTAGGCAGGTAAAGGGTTAAATGTATGAAAAAAATATACCAAATGATAGGTAAAGACATTAAGCATCTATAAAAAAAAAATTATATTGATATGTTCATTTTTGAAAAAGTTACGGTAGTTTTTAGTAAAAAAAATTGAAAAAATTTCGAAAATTAGCGATTTTTAAATTTGTAATTTTTTTGGAGGTTTCCCCCATTTACGGGGAACGAGGGAAATTTTTTCAATTTTNCCATTTACGGAGAACGAGGGAAATTTTTTTAATTTTTAAGGGTAATGTCTTCAACTAGATACGATTTGTGATCTTTTGACGTATCGTTGAAAGAAATCGGTTCGGTGAGAGCTGAGAAAAAGTGGCAACAGACATAAAAAAAAAAACACATCATAGTAAAACCAATACCTTCTCAGCNTTTTTTTTTCTTTTAATTATTATTTTATATGTAATTAGTAATAATATAAAAAATTAGAACTGATAGAAAAAGTCTAATTGCAGATTTGAAAACAACGCGAAAAGTTGATTTAGAAAAGTATATTTTTACTTCTGATGAAAGTTCCTGGTAGTCTAGTGCATTTATTTATAGTAACAAACAGTTTTTATCGAAAATTATTGTATCAAGCCCTTTAAATTTTTATACACGTAAAAGTAAAGCAAAATATAACTTTTTTATTATTTTTATAATTTCTTCGTTTAAATTACAATATTAAATTATTGAATATCAATTTCATACTAAATTTAATAATTATAATTAGTATATATTCAAATATTATATTTTAAAATCAAAGAACTACTAATCATGATATAATTAAAGAAATAAGAGTTGATGTTGCTTTTGGAATAATCCACTAATTTCTTTAAATGAAACACTATCTACAGATTTGCATCGAAGCGTTTCTTATGATAGTGATTTTAATCACTGTCAGATATCATCTATACTTGTCCCATATTAATTTGAATTACCACTAAAAATACTACAAATTTACAGAAAAATGTGTAAAAAATGTTTAGGTGTGCACAACACTTTAAAAATGTAACGTTACGTAAATTTGAAATTATTGAAAGAAAATATGAATCTTTAAATGTGGACGATTAATTTTTACAAACATAAAACTCACAATCAATAATCAGTAATCAAAAACCATGACGATTAATACTGATATTGATTTCTATCAATAATTATTAATTTATATAGAATACAGCAATGCTGACCCTTTCGCGCTCTGCCGCTTGAATGCTGTGTTATATATGTTTTATAACCATAAATGACCATTAAGTAAAATGAGTTTCTTCAGAGCTACATCTGTTTTTCCGCTGTATAAAAACATTTTTAATTCTTTTTTTCACTGAACTAGTCCATTAGTATTCCAGATAATTCTTAACAAATTGCTCATTATTTTTTTCTTAGTCGATTTAGACTGATTATTTTTCAATTTATCAATGACTAACGTTAGTTTGGCTAACTTTTGGGTATCACAATATAATTTAGTTTGCATACGGTGAATTGCCGTCGTTAACCATTGTTATTTCCATTTTATTGAAATATGATCTGTCGCACGCGCTATTAAATTACCTAATAATTATCTTGTTTAATATGAAAATAAATAATAAAATGTTTAATTGAAATGTTTGTTTGAATATCAAATAGCAACTATTTGCCTAATTTATAAATTTGTACGTAGCCGTATTTTTTATTGAATACCCATCTTAATATCCGTTAAGAAGCTTTGATTCAAAAATGAATTTTTAAGGTAAATGTATTTTTTTTTTAGTTACAAACTTCGGTGCTGAGTAAGGTTTAGTAGTACTAATAACCGACTTAATAATTAATTAATCTTGTACTATATAGGTAACTAATTTACTAGTGAGTCTCAATAAAAGTTAAACTCATTACAATTATTTAGAGTGAGTATGAATTCTAACTGACGCAATATAACAATAAATTATGATGTTTAATTATTAACTAATTGTAGATTTACGTACATATATTAACTTGTAAGGTGTCCTCATTTAAATTTTTATTCCTATTAATTCATTAATAGCAGTTGGAGTTTTATAATAAAACTTCTACTATTATTAAGTTGAATAGTAACTAATAGAACTTGATGAGTATAGGTCAAATGTAGAAAACCTCTTATTTTCAAGATGTGATTATCTATTTAACATTATCATTAAAAAACACTGACAAAACTTAAATTTGAATATCAATTCATTTTGATGTCCTAAACAAATATTTCGTTTGATAATTATACATAAAATTAACTTATATCAATGATAAATTATCAATTATGACTATAAAATTATATTTAAGATTTAAAAAAATGTGTCAATTTGAACTTGCAGAATAATGAACATTTATTTAGCCATTTTTACATTAATATTTCTATCACTTAAGATTATTATTTGCGATAACACTAATGTTTGTAATGGAAATTTGAATAATGAGTACGAAAATTACTAAATTATAATCATAGTTTTAATTTAAAATTATTTAAATTAAATTTTTCAGATATGTATTTTTAAGTACATTAGATGGAAAGGTAACTGCTTTAAACATTGCTGATGGTGGTAGAAAAGCATGGGAACTAACTACTGAACCAGGAGCTCTCCTATCTTCAAGTATTGACCAAATTGAGGTATATAATTTATTATGTAATTTTTTTTATTTTTTATAGCTTTAGTAGAAGTGGTTATTAAAACATTTTTTTGATTAAATTATTTCTTTTATTATTATTATTATTATTTTTATATTTATTATTTTGTCAACTAAGAAACTTTATTTTAGTACTAGAGTGGACAGAAATCATTTAATGTTTATGTGTTATTTACATTACATATTAGGATATTTACAAATTTTAAGATTACTTAGTAGATTAATTAGATTGATGAAATTGATTATTTTTTCCTTAATTTTAATGACTTTTCTTAATTTTCATTTTTTACATAACAATAGTATGTATTCCTTTAACTTCAATCCCCATTTATTTATAGAATACAAGTCCTGAGGTCAAAATAAAGTATAATACATAATTATTTATTTAAGATCTATTTAAAAGTATCAAGTTTACTGAAATATTTTCAAAAAGTAAGAAAGGAAAAGTGTTGTTAATATTCACAATTCACTTATAAAACTCCTTGCTACCCGTAAATGGAGGAAATGTCCAAAGAAATTAGAATGTTTAAAATCAATTATTTTCGACATTTTTTTCAATTTTTCTTAAAACTGATATAACTTTTTTAAAAATCAACAAATCAATGAAATTTTTTTTTTTATAAATGCCTTAGGTGTTTATTTATCATTGAAATATTTTTGTAAACATTTGACGTTTTATCTGTCAACAGGGGTGTTTCAAATAGCAACTTTTCCAACTTAACTTTTGATAATGTTCTGGAAATACTGACACTTTTATATATACCTTAAATTACAGCTTACATAGTATAATTTATTTTGGAAAAAAAATTTGACCTCTGGACTTATCTTCTAGTGAAAATGGACATTAAAGTTAAAGAAAAACTTACAATTTCTGTGAAAAATTCTAAATTTTATATTTTTAAATTTATATTACTATAACTTTTTGTAAATGTATGGATCATTATTATTTATTTTTATAAATACTTTTTATATTTCCTTTTCTTCCAACACCATAAGAAGAAATGTCTTATTCATTTTAAAATTATTTTACTATATAGATTTTTTTTGTGATTATCATTTATTTTCTCAGTTCTCACTTGACCTACTTTTATGAAATATTCAAACAAATATTGAGCATTTCTGATAAATTTACTGAAATAGTAATCATAAAATTTACTGACTCCATATTATTTTTAACAACAACAGTTTTTAAATCATAAAATTTTCTATTTAATGATATCAATTTCAAACTTGCAAGTTAAATTAAAAGTTATGTTAGCAAATTCAATTTATTTTACTATAAACTTTCACAAAAATCTATTTTAGAGGATTAAAAAAAAGATGTTAAAAATGTTATTATAATTATTTTTAACATATTAAAAATCAAAATCAGTTATAATTTGAACAAAAATTTTTTTTTTGTTTTAATTATTTTTTTATATGTTAATACTCATTTTTTACTAGTTAGTAATAATATCAAAAATTAGAAGTGATAAAAAAAAGTCTGATTGCAGATTTGAAAACAGTACAAAAAGTTGAAAAAGAAAAGTATATTTTTGAGAAATACTATTTACATACCTCTTTTATTTGACATACTTTTTTTTTTAAATAAAACCATTTTCCCTTATATATTTATATATACAGGGTGATTTATTAAGGATAAGACACTCGTTTACTCAGTAACTATTGAAAATTTTTAATTTTTAGTAAGAAAAATATTGTTTCATTCGAAAAACACTACAATAATATGTAGTAAAAACATAATTTTTCATCCCTTCAAGATTAAAAAACATTAACTTGAGTTTTTTTAAATGAGAACACATATTTTGAATTTAATAAAATGTTTGAGTTTTTAATTTAACTTTATTCATTTATTAGATATAAACATTTAAAGTTTCAAATTTTTGAGTTAATATACATGTATAATACACTAGGGATTACAAATACAGGTAGCTAATTGGTTTTTATGACATTGCTGTCATAGTCATGGATTTTTTATTATCAATTATGATTATCAATAGATATACTTTTTGTATTGTCCGTTAGTGTATTTATTAACTCACAACAATGTGCCTTACTACTATTGATAATAACAATACTGTTTATCTACTAATATCAATGTCATTTAACACTATCTACAGATTTACATCAAAGCGTTTCTTATGATAGTGATTAAAATCACTGTCAGAAATCATCTATACTTGCCCCAACTATGTCACATTCACACTGTGCCACTACTCCACTATGTTACTGTTTTTATATTAAAAATACACTAATTTGATTTAGTTGTCTAATCATGATCATTGGACAAGAATGATTCCATCATTAAGTGGTAGCTTGTATAAATTTGATGGAGAAACTCTGGATCGTATACCATTTACAGTAGATTCATTGTTAAAGTCATCCTTTCGATATAATGATGATGTTATCATTTCGGGTATGTTTTGAAACTAAGGTAAATTAGGTGGCTAATTTATATTGTAATCATTTTTATTTTTTTTAAGGTGGCAAAGTAAGTCAAACTTATGGTATTGATATGGCTAGTGGTCAACTATTATATGTTTGTGATATGGCTCAATGCAATAATATCACTACAGATGATTTGACTTCCTCAGATAGTTGTATTTTAGTTTTACAAAGACAAACTCAAACTGTTAGATCATCAGAACCTCATAGTGGAATAGAAAGGTATACAATAATATTCTCTATTTATTTATGAAGATAGTTATAGTATCAAGATAATAATTGTAAGTGATATTGGGTTCTGTTCTCTAGAATCTGCTGATTTAGAGGGCAGATTCAGTGGTTTTATAAATTATAAATTTGAATATATAGAGTGATTTTTTTATCATAACTCACTCAATTACTTACAGAATAAGTATAATTTAAACATTTTTTTTGTTGGTTATCTTTAGTTACACATTATTCTTGAATTATTGACTATGTAATACTTTTTAAGTTCATAATTCATTTAATTTAATAAAGGACTTTTTAATTCAGCCATTTTATGACTTCACATTAAATAAGTGTTAAAATAAATAAGTAATCAAAATTTATTTTCTTTAACACATTATGTATTAAAATATTTTAAATATGTTTCAGATGGAATTTTAGTGTAGGACAACATGACCTTAAGATTATATCTGGATTAAATAAATGTTATCAAATAACCAACCCTTCATTAAAAATTGATTTTAAAGTAAATATTCCCAATGGAATTTTATCTGCTTACTCATATGATGATCCAGAAAAGACTATCTGGACACATAAAGTAATTTTATATCTTGATTATATAAAACATTCTATTATTTTATTTATTTTATTTATTTTGTTAATATAGAAATTATTTTATAATTATTTATTCTAGTCTCATTCGCCAATAGTCAATGTCTGGAAATTTGAAAATGGTAAAATAATTAATCTTGACATATTTAAACAAGATAATAGTATAGATACATTAGGTCCTTTAGTTTACCTGGGAATGTATAAAAAACAAGTAAATCAAACCATATCACTTTCTTTTGAAAGGTAATCAAACATTTGATACTTAATTTGCTGTTTTGTCTAAATTATAGCTTTACATTCAAGAAAATGAAAGGTTTCTTGGAATTAATCCATCTTCTCTTCATCTACGCTCTTTTTTCATTGAAGAAAATAGTAATAATAAATATAAAATTCCTTGGGAACCTATACCAGTTTCAAGTAAATTTATAAATAATTTTTTTTAAATTAATCTTTAGTCTTGGGAAGTAGAGTAATTTAAATTACTCATTATTGTAACAAAACTAGTTTATAATAAATTAAATAGGTAATTTAGTTTTTTTTTTTTAATAACATATTAATGGTTAAATTACATTTAGAGTTCTTTTTCAAAAAAACTTATTTTTGTGGATTATATTTCAAATGTATAACTATTATTAATGGAGGATAACTATATAATCTTTATTTTTAGAAACCTAGGAAAATTAAGTAATACTCCAATAAGTTTTAGGTATATTATCCAAAATAGCCAACATTTTAAAATAAAAGTTTTATAGTGTTAATGGAGTTCTAATTATTTTTTATAAAGGGGTGTTGTGTACAGATTTACTGTATCTATATAAAAAATTCAACTAATAAAAAACAGGATTTAAATATGTTATTGAAATTTAAATTGACAAAATTGTTAAGTATAAATACTTAATCAATTATGAGGGTGTTCTACTTCCCTATATTATCCTAGGTATTTGTGATAGCACTGAATAAATGAGTAAGAAAATGTGACATTACCTTTTTTATCAAGTTACACATATATCGTAACATGATAAGTAACTTTTTATTTTTTTTTAAGTAGAGTAATTTCATTTCATTTTAAAACATGTAGCAGATTTGTGATTACAAAAATGTATTTTTTGAGGTGCTGTAAGTAATAAACTTAATTACTTTTCAAACATAATTTGCCCAAGACTAGTTTTCATATTTCAAGTGTTTTTTTTTCTTGATAAGTATTTGCTGATTTAATTATTTAACAATTTTTTTATAGGTCACTTGATATCAACTGAATCTTCAGCTATACAAACAGTTAATGATAAAAATACTGCTATATCTGTTTTATACACTTCTGGATTCATAGATGGTAAATCTAATCAAATATAATTGTAATTATTTTAGAAAAGATGAGTATTTTAGGGAACGTTTCTCAGATATTTTTAGGCCATTACATTTTTGTATGGAGAACATATAAAATAAGAATTATTTAAACATAGATTAAAAGGACTTACTTCCAAAATGAACTAGTGATGAAAAAACGACAGTAAAATTAATAGCTTTTTTATATCAAATTGAAAAAATATATAAGATAAATATTTTATACTAATATACATTAGAACTAATAATTTCCCTAATTTTTTTCAGTATCATTTTTGATATTTTATATATATATATATCACTTTGTAAATTTTATAAATTCATACCCATGCTATATTTTTTTTATTATAAATATAAATAAAAATGTTTAATTTATTAAACTAAAGTAATAATAATTTTTATTTTATTTCAAACAGGTAATGGGTATTTTCTTTATGGTACAAAACATCCTAAAAAAATTGCTGACAAAGAAAAAACTATTGAAAAAGAAAATAACAGTGATTTAAAAAGTATAAACAAGTATGGAGATGAAATTGAAGAAATGCCCGTAGAAATCATTATTGTATCTTTGTGGTACTGGTGGAAAGAAGTATTATTCATTAGTGTGTTGACTGCTATTTTAATAAATATATTAATTCCAGCACGTTTAGTTAGATTAATTACTTTACTCCGTAACCAAAAGGTAAAGTATTTTTGATTGTTTAACTATGACTCTTGAAATATCTTTAAAATTATGAAACAAAAATTTATTTTTTCTTAGAAGTAAGCCCTTATCTAAAAATATTTATGTATTTATTTATTTAAGATTTAAATTTTATTTAGTTCATTTTATGGGTTTCTTTGAGGGGTTCTTTCATTTCACGGTTTACAATATTTACCACAACTGTAAACACTAATTTTTGAAAAAAACAGTATGTAAAACAGTGATTTTTACACAAAAAACTAGTATTTTTTGTTTGACTCAAGGAGCCGTTTCCGTATAGAAGATAGCTAGCCAGGATTAACTAATAACTAAATTTTATCAACTTGAATTTAATAAACAGAATGTTGTTTTAATGTATCTAACTAGTAGTAAGATGATATTCACTAGTGTCAAAAAATATTAAAATTAAAAACTAAAATTTGCTATCTTCAAAATTGGGATTTTACTAGTTGTCCCTACCAATTTTATTTAATAAAATTTGTGTTTACACAAAATTCTCATAAAAATTGATATATATTATTAAACTGATTATATTATCATATCTAAAAACTAAATGAATAAACATATATAGAAAGCTGAAAATAATGACAGACAAAAAACATATTACAATGAGGTTGCGACACAGTGGAGACTTAGTATAGTTGGGACAGTATAAATAATATCTGACAGTGATTAAAATCACTATCATAAAAAACTCTTTGATGCAAATCTGTTGATAATGTTTAATTTTAAGAAATTTGTGGATTATTCCAAAAGCAAAATAAACTCCTATTTCCTTATTTATATTCTGATTACAAGATTTATAAGTGTAATATATACATAAATATATAAAGGAAAATGGTTTTATTAAAAAAAAAGTAACACGGCCGCCGGGGATTGACGGCCGGTTATAGAAAGTGTACCGAAAATCATGTGAAAAAAAGAGGCACGGTACGGGATTAGAACCCGCGACCCAAGGTGTTGTATAGACAAACCTTACCACTAGGCCACCGTGCACTTATGATTCAGATCCCGATACACTTTCATATAGGTTGATAATGTGATGTGCGGCTGAGGGAAACACGGTACCGTGTCAAAAGTATGTCAAATAAAAGAGGTATGTAAATAGTATTTCTCATAAAAAAATTGTATAGATCCATATATTTTTCAAAAAGTTATAATATTATGAAGTTAAAAATGTAAAATATAAAATCGAGAATTTGAACACAAAAATAGCATACGGTAGCCATTTTCACCGTAAAGCAAAATGAAGTCCGAAATTTTTTTTTTCCATAAAAAAGTAAATTACATTAGCTTTAATTTAAGTTATATATAAAAGTATCAGAGTTCCCGGAACACTTTCAAAAGTTAAATTGAAAGACTTAATTTTTTGTGAAAAAGTTGTCATTTTGAATCCCCTCCTGTGAGCAGGTAAAGGGTCAGATCTGACCGATTTATTAAAAAAATATATATAGATTGATACTTTAATACCTCAAGTATCTATAAAAAAAAAAAATTATATCGATTTGGTTATTTAAAAAAAAAATTTTGGCAGTTTTAAGTAAAAAAAATTGAAAAAATGTCAAAAATTAGCGATTTTTAAATTTGTAATTTTTTTAGAGATTCCCCCCATTTACAGTAACGAGGGAAATTTTTTCAATTTTTAAGAGTAATGTCTTCGACCAGTTATAATTTTTGATCTTTTGACGTATTGTTGAAAGAAATCGGGTCGGTGAGAGCTAAGAAAAAGTGGTAACAGACAGAAAAAATAAAAATAAAACATATAGTAAAATAAACACCTTCTCAGCTTCGCATCGTAGCTAAAAAGTAAATTAAGCTTATTTAATAATTAAATAACACATTTAATAAAGAAATGAATTATTCATTTCTTTATTAAATGTGTTATTGTTGTGATTTTTATTACATTATTTGTTATTTATAGTTATAATTATGTTTTTTATTAAGAATAAAGGTTGCCTATTTTGAAAAATTGAATAACAATTAATTAATTAAAAAAAAAACACTCCAATAAAATCCATTATTTTAAATTATACAGTATTTGTGCTGTTGAATATTATTAAAAATAGAATTAGAATTTAAAATAATGTAATACAAAATAAAAATAATAATACTTCCTGGTTAAGAAAATTATCAAATAATCCAAGTAAAAATCATTGGATAATCACTAAGATTTAAATTTATGTAATTTTTTGATAATTATGGAAAACTTTCAAATAAAAAATAGAAATCTTTAAGTAATTATAGAAATCTTTAGGTATTTATAGAAATTGTGGTGTTCTAAAATCGAGTGTACAAAATATTCATAAGTGATTTACCCTTTGTTTGAACCAGTATTTTAGAAGCTGTTAACAATTTAATTTAGACTGACGATAAATTGTAGGTATGTTTATTTTTATCTTTAGACACTTATGTATCGTCCTATTTTGGTATTAAAATGATAATTTCTTTTACTATACCAGTTCAATAGTTGTTACTGACCAGTATTTTTTTTATTTTTAAGTTGGTTAAACATAAGTTTCTAATTAATAAATAAAAGTAAGTGGATATGATGGACCAAATTTGTTTTGGAAATCGTAGAACATAGAATATTATTAATTTGTGATAAGAAAAAATAATTTTTTATTTTGTAATTTTAAAGATATTGCAAGTCATAAATAACGAATCATCTCTGTATTTAATTATATAATAAATTATTAAATTATAAATCATTGTAAAAAAATTGTCTTAATTTTTACATACATGTATTAGAAATTTTTATTGCACATAATATAAGGAAAAATTTATAATAAAAATGTTATTATTGTGTAAGCAATGTTGATACTTTAAAAAGTAACTTTTTAACATGTGTAATAAAAATATCATACTGACGTATAAGAAGTTAAGTTAATTTTTAAAGTCAATAATTATTATATATAATAAAATAATATTTAATCTTAAATCTTAATTAATTATTGAATTTTTATCATGATATTAATTCATTTTTTTTTTTTATTTATCTTTTATTAAAATGATTTTACAGAAAAATGAAATAAATGACATTATAAAACATATCAATAACACTACAGAGTGCAAAGATTCGGGTGTTGATGTAACATCTGTTGATTTTATAAATAAAGAACCACATATGACATTAGAATTTAAATCTCGTTATTTGCAAGACTTTGAACCAATTAATTGTCTTGGTAAAGGAGGTTTTGGCATTGTATTTGAAGCTAGAAATAAAATTGATGATTGTCATTATGCTATTAAAAGAATACCATTACCTTCACAGTAAGAAAAAATGATATACATTTAATTAATTGTGAAATAATTGAGTATATATGTAATCATTAAGTTAAGTAATTAAATTAATTTTTCTTCTTTCTTAACGGTTCATATTTTCACATATCCATCACAAAAAAAAAAACAAATTTTCAAAATTTACATGTACACAATTATTTTTTTTTTTTGTCAAATACATAGAATTTTGAGTTCTTTATTAAAAAAACATTAAGTTATAAAAAATATTAGTTATGTAATAATAAATATACGTATTAAATATTTTAACTTTTTAATATTTATAAATTTTACTATTTTCTAATAAAAAGTACATTTTAGCTCCCTTTATAAATATTATATGAAGTAAAAAGAGATACACATAGCATTTAAAAATATAAATAATATACTAATTTTTTATCTTAGTATTTTTACACTTGACAGTATTTATAAAAGCATTTCACTTGAATAATTCTCAACTAAGTATAAATAGATAAAATTTGTATTGTAATAACATAAAATAACATTTTAGTTTCTTGATTTTTATAAAAATATTTAAATTACTATTAATATAGTATTGCATTTATAAGTAGTGTAACTTGAATATACAAATAATAATTAAAGTACAAATAAATATTATTCAATATCTGAATTATATAGGGCATTCAGTAACTAAAGAAACAACTTTCTATTGTTCTCATTGTTTATAACAAATAACCTGTGTCCTTACTTAAAAAAAACACTATGTATAAACTTCATAAAGTCTGTGACAGTATCATTAACGATTCACAAAAAATTAATAATAAATGATGATTTTAATATCATAGATAATTCAGCATATTATAATAAAAATTAGTATATATATTTTTGACAATTTAGAAATAATAATTTTTATGAAAAATACTATTTACAAATAAATACTTATTCGACATACTTTTTTTTAAAATCAAATCATTTCCCTTTATACAGGGAGGGTTCAAAACTTAAAAATGCATATAAAAAGTACATTTTTTTAAACTTATTTTTAATTAAAATATATTTATTGATTATTTATACGTAACCTAATGATCAAACATATATCTATTTGTTATATTAATTAGAAGTATTTTGTTATTATTTAAGCCATATGCGAAATTCTAATTGTTTATTTAAAATTGGCGAGAAAATAGGTTTAGAAAAGTATATTTAGGTCTCTGATGAAAATTCCTTGTAGACCAGTAAATTTATTTATAAAAACCAATTCTCATCTTCCCATTTAAGCTAATAACAAACAATTTTTATTTAAAGTATTGCATCAAGACCTTAGACTTTTATATTTGTTTGTCATAAAAGTAATAATTACTTTATAATTTTTTATAATTTCTCCGTAAAAATTACAATACTAAATTATTAAATATCAATTTTATACTATATTTATTTGCCATAATAAATATTTATACATATATTACACTCATAAATCATAAAACTTATAATCAGTTAATATTGTAATAGGTATTACCTATTTCTTAGAATTCAACATTATCTACAGATTTGCATCGAATTGTTTCTTATGATAGTGATTTTAATCACTGTCAGATTAAATCTATACTGGATTCAACTAAACCACGTCCCCACTATGCCGCGATCCCACTGTGCTGGGTTTTTTATTAAATAAAAACATTTAATTAGACATTACCCTTAAAAATTGAAAAAAATTCCCTCGTTCCCCGTAAATGGGGGAGACCTCCAAAAATATTACAAATTTAAAAATCGCTAATTTTCAAAAAATTTTCAATTTTTTTTACTTAAAACTGCTATAACTTTTTCAAAAATGAACAAATCAATATAATTTTTTTTATAGATTCATAATGTCTTTACCTACTATTTGATGTATTTTTTTTATAAATTTGACCTGCCCACAGTGGAGGATTCAAAATGGTAACTTTTTTACAAAAAATTAACTTTTTCAACTTAACTTTTGAAAATGTTCCGGAAGGTCTGACACTTTTATATATATCTTAAATTAAAGTTAATGTAATATACTTTATTATGAAAAAAAAAATTTGACCTCTGGACTTGTCTTCACGGTGAAAATGGCTACCGAATGCTATTTTTGAGTGAAGATTCTCGATTTCATATTTTACATTTTTAACTTTATAATGTTATAACTTTTTGAAAAATTTATGGATCAATACAATTTTTTTATAAGAAATAATATTTATATACCTGTTTCATTCGACATACTTTTTTTTTAAATCAGACCATTTCCCTATATACGGGGAGGTTTCAAATCTAAAAAATGCATATAGAAAGTAGAACTTTTTCAACTTAATTTTTAAAAGTGTTCCGGAAATACTGACACTTTTATATTTATCTTAAATTAAAGCTTATGTAATATACTTTAATATTAAAAAGAAAAATTTCGGACTTTATTTTGTCATAGTATAATTGACATAGTATAAAAAATTAAACATATTTAAATTTTTTTGTTTCTTTGAAGTCGAGAAAAAAAACTTTAAAATTTGAACTAGCTAAATTTCCATTTTTATTAAGTGACGAATGAGACGTACGGTTTCTTGAGACGGTAACACTTGGGTATTTTTCATGCCTATGGCACTGAATTTTTTCTTAATTCTTTTTGAGTTAGATTTAAATATTTAACACATTTGATTTTTTTATCATTTAGATTCAATAACTTCAATAAATATCAAGGATCCCATTACTGTAGTCTACTCTCGTGAGAAGAAATTAATATTAATATTATTTTACTATGTGGTTTGTTTTTTGTAGCTATCATTTATTTTCTCAGCTCTCACTTGACCTACTTTTTTGACAAACTTTTTTTTTAAATTAAACACTATCTACAGATTTGCATCAAAGAGTTTTTTATGATAGTGATTTTAATCACTGTCAGATATCATCTATATATACTGGACCCAACTATGCCACGACCCCACCGTGCTGGGTTTTTTATTTTTACCTCTTCAACGAAACGTTTTAATTAATTGGCAATCTAACACATTTTTCAAACAGGACAAACAATTTTTTTTTTTTCATTACTTGTTTTAGAATGAACATTTGATTTGTAGTTAACCTCCTTTTTCTGAAGTCACATTGATACTTTCCAATTATCTGATCAACATATGGAGCAAACCTTTCTAATAAATCTGTTAATATACTTTATGACAAGTGTCTAATAAGAAAATTCCTCATTAGTTTTTTGTTTCAAGTATGTCTCCCCTTTTTTAAAAAAGTTAAGCATTCGTTTTTCCCAAATAAGGTTGGTCTGTTTCCATATTTCATTCTTTACAGCTTCTCCATTATCTATCAATAATTCTGTTACACTTTTTTTTTGTTTCCTAATAACTTATTATTCTTCAGTTTATTGTTCATAGCATTCATTTTAAATCTCGGAGTTTACTGACATATGGATCAAAATTAATATAACTCTTCTATCACTTCCGTTTTATTTATAACTAAGTCTTGATTTTGGCTTTTTATCATTCTAGTTTTCTGTTTTTGGTGTTGTATAATAATATCAGTGTTGATTAATATCAGCTATCAAATCATGAAGAACTGTTAATGAGTTCTACTATTACTGAGGGATTTTACCTATTGTTTGCTATTTATCAATTTTTATTTTATTTTCTCATCTATTTTCCTTTTTATATATTTTATTAGTTTCTTTTCTGCTTGTTGTGTTCTGCTCAATTTAACACTATTCTTATCATTTATTTTACCTATCTATGATTTCCTTGTATTACTCATTGAACCAAATTTTTTCTTTGATACTCATGCATATTCCAAAGTATTTTTCTAACCCAGTTGAAGCTGTTGTTTTAATTCAATTCCACAAATGTTCTATGTATGTTTTTGCCGTTAACTTTACAGTTTGTATTTAATATGATCTATTTCATACTTCGATTTGATGCTTTTATTTTTTTATTTATAAATTTAACGGGCTTAGTCCATTTACAAAATCAGGTTATTAAACAATTTTATAAAATAATATCAGTATAAATATAATTCATAACGATTCAATAGAATATTTGAAATAATATAAAAAAAAAAAATTACCGTTTTAAAGTATAAAATAAGAAAAAGGAAGTGGTTAATAAGATAACATATGTGGGTCCATATTGGCACTATTTAAAATTCTTCTAATCGTCTCATTATGTAAGTAATTTTGTAGAACTAATTTGAATGAAGAAAGGAATTTTATTTGTTTATAAAAATCTTTTCTAGAAAATCATGTATTTTTGGTTTTTGAGGTGAAATATTTTTAAATGAAAACAATTAATGTTCACTACATCACAAAACAGCATATTACAAAAAAAAAGTTTAGATATAATAATTCTTGATTCTACATTTTTGTAGTTTAAACTATATTTATTCTCTTTAGAGAAGAATCCAGAAATCGTGTGTTACGAGAAGTTAAAGCTTTAGCAAAATTGGATCATCAGAATATTGTTCGATACTTCAATACTTGGCTTGAAGAACCTCCAACAGGTTGGCAAGAAAAACATGACAGTAATTGGATTGAAAAATCATGGTAATTGGGAATTTATCCTTTTGTCTTAAAAATATTTAGGACAAATAAAATAGTAATACCAGACAATTTTTTCAATAGTATACTATGAAAATGTTTACCTTTGTCCATAATAATATTTACTTATAAATTTAATGAATACAAAACTATCAAAAAAAATTCCTTAATTCAATTATTAAATATAAATGTAATTTTTCTAACTTGAAATTTAATTATATTGGAATATATTTATTGTTATTTTTATCCAATGACTTATGCTGGCTTGGCCTAGCCGTCGATACAGTTGCACACAGACAATTATTTCATAAAATAATATTTAGCTACAAAAAGCATTTCTTGGTTCTTCCCAAGTCCTCTCATCTGAGTATTACTGGTCAGCATAATCCCCTAAACTAGGGAGCCTCTAGATCCATTATCATAGTCTAGGTCAAAAGTAAGAGATGAAGATTGACTAAAAGTCAGCTACCAGCACAACTATTTTTTCTCTTTACTTACTAAAAGATGGTTCAAAAGACTAGCCAGGTTGCACAGTAGTTATTTGGACCGAATAAAAACACTCTGACATTAACTTTAACCGAACACACAAAATTAATAATAATTATGATGAAGAAATCAATGGAACAAAATTTAAATTACAAGGTTTTAATGCCAAAACAAACAATTGTATCTTTAAATTGTAATAATCACAACATGTACACAAAAATATTAGAATTATAACAAATATAATTTTTATAATGTCCTTAAAAATATAAAAATTAATGCTTAGTGTCCCCTGGACAGACATACATAATCAAAATATCAATCCATGATTCATGACTTTTATTCCCATTACATAAAATATTACTTTTAATCATAATGTTAGTATTATTTAATGATTTTGTTTTCTTTAAATGTTGATGACATAATTATTATACAGGGTGATTGATTAACTATGCCTCACAAATTATCTCTGAAAATATAAGAGTTATTTATTTTTTTTTTTATGAAATATTATGTTTCTATCTTGGTCTGCTCAATGAGTAAAATAATATTTTTATAATCATCCATTATGTTTTAAATCAATATTGCTTTTCAATTTTGAAATGGTAACCCTATTTTTTTTTATATATAATCAGATTAGATTTAGTTTTATTTATTCACTTATCAGCAAACTATGATTCATTAAATTTTAGGGGACGAGAATATTACGTTGATTTATAAAAGACGCGCAAATTTTACGTTACGGTACAATACACCGATAGTTCTTATCTGTACATCAAATATTAATGTTACTGTATTTACCTGACTACTGTTTTATCTGTTAAATCCCCTAAACTTTAATTAGTAATATCTCGTTTAGAATTTATTGAAATAAATATTTTTTTTTCTATGTTAAATAAAGTTAATAAAAAAAAAACTGGGTTGCTCTTTGAAAAACTGAAGTTAATATTGATTTGAGGGTTAAGGGATGATGATAGAATATTTATTTTTCTTGTCAAGTAGCTCAACAAAGTTTTATAAGAAATAAAATAATTACATATATGATAACACTTAAAGAAAATTTGTGAGGAATAGTTAGTCAATCTCCCTGTATTTTATAATTTTAAGATTTTACTGCACCTGGGTGCCTTATATCTAATTTTATAAGGTAGCCTTCTGTATTAAAATTTAATTTTAATTGATTGAATAATTTAATTTTTTTTGTAATTATGTTATTTAGTGATGTTGATATCTGTATTAGTACAAGAAGTGATAAAGCACAAAAAAACCAACTAAATCCAGGAAAACAACACATGCGTTCCAAAAGTTTATCAACAATGATAACTTTTTCACAGAGTAGTGGAAAACTTTCAGAAATATTAAATAATCCTAAAGCTCTAGTCAGTAATTATGATCATAGTGATTCTTCATTCATAGTTTTTGATAATGAAACAAATGAGAACAGCATTAAAGAATGTATTTTAGATATTAGTTCTAGTAATGTTATTAAGAATAGTAATAGACGTAGATATAAGTCAGAATGTGATACTAAAAACAACAAGAATAGTGAACGAAGAGCAGCAGCAAGACACTATTTATACATACAAATGCAACTGTGCCATCAAAATAGTTTAAGAGAATGGCTCAAAGATAATACCACTAATAGAAATATGAATTATATACTAGACATTTTTCGTCAAATAGTCCAAGCTGTTGAGTATGTACATTTACAAGGATTAATTCACAGAGATTTAAAAGTAAGAATTTATACATTTTTAATCAAATATTATATGTTATATAAATTATAAACATTCATCATAAATATGATTTTTCATATGATATGTATCTTTTTATATTTACAAATCACTCTTCTGAATGGTTAACTAAGTTAAACAGATTTTTTTCCATGAGAAAATATATACTAATTAAAGTTTAAATTTTATAATATAAAATATGATAAAGATATGTTTATGTTGCTAATTTTTAAATCTTTTAAAAAATATTTAGTTTAATATCATTTTAAAGGATATAGATAATGTGTAACATGGTAAAAAATAAGAAATAATTTAATTTGTGTGATGCCATTTTCTTCTACCATTTGTGAGTAGGAAAATGTCTTGAGTTACTATAAAAAAAATTATGATCAATCCATGTATTAAAAATAAATTTACCAATTAAATTACACTTTTTGATAAAACATGTGTACCATATGTTGTGAGATAACCCATTATAAGATTACTATTTTAAAACATGCTTTTATTAAATAAATGTGTTATTGTGTTAATGTGTTCTCTTATCTGATTAAAAAAAGTCTACTCATAATAATTATTCCCTTAAACAATAGTCACAATTTCAAATTTTTTCTAATAGGAACTTTATAATATTTATATCAAACAGACCCATGGGGTAACAACCCCCACACCAATCATAGTGGTTCTTTGGCTACTATACTTATACTAAAAATACAATATACTTATTATATTACCTCTTTTTTTATGACCAACATTATATGAACCGTCCTCGAATCACTGTGAGGCAGTACTTTAGGTAAACCCACTGTCTTTAAAACTCAAAACCACTATAATGTGATTCAGTTCAAAATTAATCAAATGCTGAATTGCAATACAGCATTGTCTCTCTATTAGTCAGACCAAGAGTCTAGTCTGTTGTCCGGGTTGCACTACATAGAGGTGGGAGGATACTTCGTGAAGACTGGCTATTTATGATAACTTATAACATCATTGGAACAAAGGGGATATAAAATTTAACAGTATTTATATATAAATACAAATACAACTATAAGACTAATTTTCGAATTTGTATGTATATATTCATGTTTGTATAATAGTTATTAATAAAAGTTTTGGTTGTTATAACTAAAATTTTTTTATTCATTTTAATGACATATGTATATATTTTACAGCCTTCAAATATATTCTTCTCTTTAGATGGTCAAATAAAAATTGGCGATTTTGGTTTGGTTACTGAAATGATTGAGTCGGATGAAGGAGATTCTTCTTATGATGGAAAAAAAAAGAAATTTAATGAGCAGCATACAGACTTAGTAGGAACTCAACTTTATATGAGCCCTGAACAGGTATAAGTAATAATTTTTTTACTATTTAAACAACATTATCCTTATAATTTTTTATAATTTCTTTGTTTATTTTATACTATAAAAAATTGTAAATGATTTTAAGAATACAACTAATATCTTTTTTTAGAAACTTAAATTATTTTTTTGGTTTCAGTTATTAGGTATGTCATATAATTACAAAGTAGATATTTATTCTTTGGGAGTAATTTTTTTCGAATTGCTTAATCCGTTTAACACTGAAATGGAACGATACCAAACATTAACAAGATTGAGGAATAATGTGTTTCCTCAAGAATTTTCTAATAAATTTAAGAATGAAGTAAGTTAAGTAAGATGTATGTTATATAATAGTGCTCATTTCTAGAGCAACTAAGATTATAGGTATTCAGGTACTAATTCTTTAACCTTGATATTTTGGAACTTTAAATTTATGAAAGCAGTTACTGTATTATAAAATTTCTATCAAAATAAATAGATGAATGTCACTTGCTTAAAACTGTGATTTTTTAATATTCTGGTAAAAAAGTATTTAAAACACAATAAATATGATAATTATAATAAAAATTCATATAATAATAATATAAAATTAAGTACAATCAGGATCAACGTAGTGGAGTTGAAGAATTTTTTAGATTAGTATTGATTGATACCTGACAGTGATTAATATCACTGTTCTAAAATATTTTGACATATACTTGATTTATTTTAAAAAGTGTGTAATTTAATTAAACAAATTATAATTATAAAATAAGCTATCAAAACTTTTAAGGTAATAATTGGCTGTCATAAAGAAGAAGAACATATGTAGGTTTGTTTAAATAATTTTATATTTAAATTTAACTAAACAATTTCTTTTTACTAGAATATAATATTATTAACCCTTTAGTCTTTTTTTTTTTATCTTAAAGTTCTTTGTAGTTTTAATTTAATATAAGTTTAGAGAAAAATTATCTTTAAAGAAAGATGTCTTGTTACATTATCAAAAATATAAAAAAAATTGGTAATGATTTTTAAGTCCCCATAGTGATTTGATTTGATTTTTAAAACAAAAAAAAATGGCAGAGTAAAAACAATAGCTTTGCTAAATCGAGTTGAAAAATATAAGAGATTAATATTTTATACTAAAATAGTTAAAAATTTAATTTTTCCAGCATTATTTTTGATATTTTGGACATGTCATTTTGTAAATTTCTATAATTTAAAATTCATATTCATAACTATACAATATTTTATCAGCTAAAAAATGTATCTTTTTCTATTGTATGTTAATTTATTGTTTTCTCCCTCCTTCTTTTAAAAATTATTTATAAATGTTTTTAATTTTTCCTTGTCTTTTCTTATGGAGTCCTTTGTACTGATAAGACAAATCAAAATTCTCTTCAAAAAAATAAATATAATATTGTTAACTTTCTACTGCTATTATAAAAATGTTTAATTTGTAATTTTTTACTTTTACCAATCAGTATTTGTGATATTATAATTTATTCATATTAACTGTACTTTATTATGATAAGTATTTAAAAAAGAAAAAAATTTATTAATTATTTAAATCCACATAATTATTTTAAATAACGTTAGCCCTTTCACGAACATATTTTTATTGTTGTCTACAAAACACAAGACAAGAAATAAGGTAACAATCACTTCTATCTACAATATATAGTTGAATTCTGTGATAGAATAAATCTGAAACCAGATTTAAAATCAGGATTAAAATTTGTTACAGAATTCATCTAAATTTTATAAACAGCAAAATAACAATTGTCTTGTATAGTTGGTTCTTATCATATTTAGATTATTATTATTATATATTAACTTTTTGTTTTTTTTTTTTTTTACAAATAGTATGATCTATTATGCTTAATGTTATCGCCAAAACCAAATTTACGACCAACAACATTTGGAATTAGAGCTAGACCACCTTTAAAATCATCTTTAGATATATCAGTAGATCTTGCACTGATTGATTCTAGTTATCATTTTGATCTTCAAATCAAAAGACGTCAACTTTCCAATCAATTTACTTCTCAAAATAAGTAAACTTTTAATATTTTATAAATAAATTTATACAAACTTTATGATTTATGTTTTTATTTTTATTGTATAGTACTTTTGTTTAAGTATTATATTTATTATTTATAATTAAAAATGTTATTATTAAAGTATTATGAAGTATAATGTATGTAACTATATGGTATTGATTTAACTATTTTAATTATTTTATAAGAATAATAATTTATCACATATTTGTAAATGTAAAATGAACTGTTTAAAATAAATTTTTATTTAATTATTAAGTTAATCAGATATAAAAAAACTAATATTTTGTAAAATGTTGCGATTATAAAGGTTTTTATCATATAAAATACCTTTGGTAAACTATTTAATGATGTTGATTTGCAAATAATTATATTAATTGATTATACTAATTAAAAAAAGACTTAAAATATTTTTATATCTTTTTTATACAAATATGTATAAATTGTTGAAAATGTAAATAGGTTTTTTTTTTAATATTAATAATTATAAAATTTTAGTTATTATTAAAATAGAGCTTGGTTATTTAATTATAAATTCTTATCATTGTTACATGGTAATCAGATTAAATAGCTAAACTTAAGGGGCTTTAAACTGTTTTATAAAAAGTCGGACAAACTAAGGTCTTGTAATTTGGTTAATGATAAAAAAAAACCAACTTGTTACTTAATTTGTTAAGCTCAGACTTGACTTCTATTATGGTAACATTAAGTGATGGCAAAAAAAATTGTAGTAGCCTCTGCAAAGGAAAAGAGATTGTTGGTGAGAGTAAGAGTAGAATGCCAGAAAACAAGGAAACCAGGTGGTGGGATGAGGACATTCAAAAAATCATAGTAAATAAGGAAAAGCAATTCAAAGTATGGCAGAAGAGCAAAAGGAGAGAAGATTGGATGGAGTATAAACGCTTGTGCAAAAAGCCAAGTGTTCAGTAAGTATGGCGAAGTTTAAGAGGTATGATGAGTTGTATGATAGGCTAGGAACAAAGGGAGGCGAGAAAGAAATCTATTGACTTGCAAAAGTAAGATAGAAAAGTTCTAAAGATTATCATTATATAAGGTGTATAAAAAGTGTCGATAATAAAAGGTACTCGCGAGTGATGATGATGTGAAAAAAAGGTGGAAAGAGTATTTTGAAAAATTATTGAATGAGGAGTACTCAAAAGAGACATAAAGCTTATGAGTCATAGTATGAAAATTTGGGAAAAGGTAATAGATAAGAGAATAAGAAATGAGACATAGGTATCTAAAAACCAGTTTGGATTTATGCCTGGTAAGTCAACAATGGAGCCAGTATTTTGTATGAGACAACTAATAGAAAAGTTTAGGGAAAAGTAGAAAAAGCTGTATATGGTATTTATAGATTTGGAGAAAGTGTATGATAGAGTACCGAGAGAGGTTTTAAAGTGGGCATTAATAAGAAAAGGAGTCCCGAAAAGGTACATTAAAATAATAGAAGATATGTATGATGGCACTTGTACCAGGGTAAAAAGCATAAGAGGAGTAACAGAAGGTTTTCGGGTAAGGATAGGAGTACACCAAGGTTCTGCTTTAAGCCCTTACTTATTCTCTATAGTGATAGATGAAATTACTAGAGAAATACAAGGAGAGGTGCCGTGGTGCATGTTGTTTGCTGACGATATAGTGTTAATAGGAGAAAATAAGGAGGAAATTAATCAAAGGCTAGATGTGTAGAGATCAACTCTTGAAGAAAAGAGTTTAAGAATAAGTAGAAGTAAGACGGAGTATATAGAGTACGAGTTTGATAAGGGAGAATACGAGGTAGGTGAAATGAGGAGATCAGTGACAATAGGCGAAGACGTGATTGGAGAAGTGGAAAGTTTTAAGTATTTAGGGTCAGTTAATGAACGCCTTCAAGAGTAATAGTACAGACATGTATAAAATATATGATACAAAAGTACAGTAAAAATAATAACAATAAATCAAAAATTACTACAAGTTGCGCACTGTAATAAATCAAAAAGAAATTAAAAAATAGAGAGAAATAATAGAAATTTTATGAAAAATTTAAAAGGGAATAAAGTAATATAAAAATGTGTTGCTTGTAATATACCAAAAGAAAATTAGAGGGCTGTTAAGTAGTTAGAATAAAATAATATACATACAATGTATAGTGGAATAATACAAAATAAAATATGATGAAATAATATGTGGTATTAATAAAATATTATTTAATGAACAAATAAATTTAAAATAATAGTTCACCAAAACAAAATTCACTTTAAATTATTCCAAGTTCCGTTTAATTAATAAAAATATATTCTAAGAAACGTGCTACTCTTTTCAAAAAAATGTTTTCATTACCAATCATTTATGATAAATTGAGAATACGAATTATAGGTTGATTATTTTAATATCCTTTATTAGCCACTTGTTTCTCATAAAATTTCAATTTCATAGCTGAAATAATAATGAACTAACGATGGTCAGAATAAATAAATTAAGAAAGTTAACTCTCTTTACTTTCTTTCATATATCCATACTTGCATTTTTGATAAACATTTGCCAAATAAGTAACGAAATGTACGACAATTTTATAATTTGCAAGTGGGTTTTTGTCGGCCTGCAACAACAACGTGGTTTTCCATTTGCATAACGACTAGCTATAGTAGCAAGGGTCATTACTAAGGGTCGTCACCACCTAGACGAGGTGTTACACCTATGAGATCATAGGTGGAATTTAATTTTAAGTTAATTAATAGTTTAAATTAAGTTAATGTGCCGTAATATATATAAATGATTTTAACACCTAAGGCCGTTTTTAACAGAGGGTAATTGTTTCGGGGCGGCAAATTTTTGATGATTAACATAAAATGAAATATATAATTATAAATTTTCCTATGTGAATATACAGTAGCGCTCAAAAGTATTTTGACAAACACGTTAATGGCGATTTAAAAAAAATCTGAACAGGAGCAATAAATCTTATGACTCTGAATTGTGATTAAACGTAAAAAAAGCAAGAAGAAATAAAAAAATGTACTAAAACGTTAGTATAAATATTGGAAATTAGCTTTATAGGAGTTTACCGCGCTCAATAGTATTTTGACAAAAATAGAATCAACAAAAATATTTTCTTAAAAAATAATTAACAAAAAAATAAGCAAAATCACAGAAATTAGTGACTGAAAGTTTAATATTTGGTAGCGTATCCCTTAGACCTGATAACCGCTTGACATCGAGCTGGCATAGAGTCAATCAGCTTTTCAATTGTGGAAAGGGGAATTTTGGCCCATTCTATACTCAATGTTTGAAGTAGAGTTGCCTTGGTGGTTATTTCTCGTTGACGGATCCTTCTATCTAGCTTGTCCCAGAGATGTTCAATTGTATTCAGATCTGGACTTTGACTAGGCCAATCCAACACGAAGACTCCATTCTTAGACAAAAAGGTTTTAACATGTTTTAAGGCATGTTTGGGATCGTTTCATGTTGAAATTGCCAGTCACCCTCGAAAATTTCTCTGGCATGTTCCAACATATTATCTTTTAGTATGTCAGCTTATTTAAAGCGGTCCATGATGCCTTCTATGTTAACTTAAGGGCCAATACTAAGCATGAAAAACATCCCCAGACCATAACATGTCCTCCGCCGTGTTTTACGGTTGGAACTTAGTAGCGGACATTGTCTTGAGTGTTGACAGGACGTCTAACATACCATATTCCGTCTGATGAAAATATATTAAATTTGCTTTCATCGCTAAATAGAATGGTCGACCACTACTGTGTTGTCCAAGACCTGTACTTAATAGCAGATGAAAGTCTGGCCTTCCGGTTCTTTACAGAAACCAATGGCTTCTTGCTAGGGCATCGACCATTGAAACCCAAGTGGTTCAAGCGACGTTTTACTGTTGATACATGAAAATTAACACCGTGTGAAATGTTTATATCGCGAGTAATGTCTACAGCTGTAAGGCGGGATTTGCAACTGATCTCCGTCGAATGTCCCTATCGACTCTCTCGGTTGTTTTTCGTGGCCTTTTTGATCTTTGAGCATTCTTTACTAATGTATGGGATGGAAATTGTTGGTTCCATACACTGACAATCTGTCTAAATAGTCCAAAATCTCTTGAAACACTAGCTTGTGAACGGCCACTTTTTAATGCTGCATTAACCGCCTCTTTTAGATCAGTAGAATACTTTTTAACCTTCGGCATTTTGGTTAGAAGGGTCCATGCAATGTATAAAAACGGTGACTAAATACCAAAACAAAGTAATCACAAAATAAAATAGGTGTTAGCTCTAACAAATACACCTGTCAAAATACTTTTGAGCGCTGTATTTTGAAAAAAACAGACTTTTTTACTTATGCCTACGTTGTCAGCTTCTTTTCCAAAGGATAACAGCTGCAGATTGCTGCACTCTTCACTAGAAAATGGTCGGCTACTTACTGTCTTGCAGGTCCATGCCATTTAGTGGTCTAAACTAATTGTCAAAATACTTTTGAGCGCTACTGTATGACTATAATACATATTGTTTCATTTATAAATACCACGTAATTTCCGCTGTCTACAGTTTCATGTCAAAAGACGTTAAGAATTAAGAACGCGAACTTTTACCGTATAAACTATTTTTGTTATTACTGTACGTATTTTCCTCGAAAATAGTCGCCGACCACATACTTATCTCAGCAGTTGGCACATTGCACAGTTAGATGCATAGTAAAATGAATAATATTATTATTTATTCATTTTACTATGGTTAGATGTGTAAACGTCTTTTCTATTTCACATTTTTGTTGTTGACAATTAAAATATTATTTTGACAACAAATGTTATAAGTCTTGTGTGCATTAATACAAAATAAGTAACAAAATTTTTATATTGATAATGTCAGACAAACGAATTAGATTAAGCGCAGCAGCATAAAGAAAGGCGTAAAAAAAACTAGTAAAAACCGATTATTTGTTCAGAAAAATTCCAAAACTTAATTCATATTTTGTTGCTACAAATCCAGAAAATGTAAGTATATGTCGTACACTCGCATCTAAATTCACCAATTTATTTCTTATTACTTTATTCACGTTTAAATGTAAAATTATATAAGAGACGAAATCGGAATTAAAAAAATAATCCAAAAAAGATAGTTAAAATAGATTTGTTTAGAAATTTTTTATCTGGTACTTATGAAACTAAAA